AAAACAGAGATCAGGGGACATGGTCAAGGCGGGGGGTGTGGGGGAGAGAGGGAGGGAGGGAGGGGGAGAGAGAGAGAGAGAGACAGACAGACAGACAGACAGAAAGAGAGACACTCTTCAGCAGGTTTTAGATCAGTGGGCACCCAACATGAGGCTCAATGCCACAACACTGGGATCATGACCTGAGCCAAAATCAAAGAGTCAGACGCTCAACCGACTCAGCCACCCAGGCGCCTCTGGAAATGCTCACTTTTATCTTTACTAGATATTTCCCCAATTGTTTCCCAAAGTGGTTACACCAATGTACTCTTACCAGCAACAATGAAGCATTCCTCGTTCTGTCCTCACCAATACCTGACGTTACGAGAATTTAACTGTTGCCGATTTTAAGGTTGTAAAAGTGGTAACGAAGAGTTATTCTCAGATAATATTTTCTTAAGGTCTCTTCTGGTCATTTAATTGTGGCCACCGCATCAGTGCCAAGTCTTATCAGAATAACAAAATAAAGGATGTGATTTAAAAAACTTGTTCCAAAGTTTACAATGAATTTACTTTTCCTCAAGAAATGTCTTACATGGCTAACGCTGGCCCATGAACCCATAAATCAGGCCATAAAAGAGGAATGGGGACATGGCCCCAGCTCCGTATTTATTTTCTTGTATTCCATAATCCAATGTTACTTAAAAAGCAAACTGCCCAATATTCTAGCCAAAGCAAATAGTCCGGACTCTGCCAGGCAAAATGCTTGTGGAGAAATGAGTCAATTCATACAAAATTCAAAGCTGTCTTTGGTCAGTGACATTTTCGTGAAAATCTGTGGGTGGGTAAAAGTCTTGCAAAATACCTTTCTGCTATTGGATAAAATGCATCCAGGAAAAATAAGCAAAATTAAGTGGTGACCCACATTCCCCCTAATTCCCTTATTAACACTCCCTCGCCTCCCCACACAACCGCTTGCTATTGTGAGCAAAGGCACATCAGTGTTGTCTGATGCTGGCCAGCAGCGCCCTTTCCCTCTCGCTCTGCTCCCATCAGATAGACCCTCTCATGAGAAGCCCTGGCAGACAGAGAGTGCCTGATCTCACTCAGAACACACCTTCCCGGGAACACTACCCAGGCCTTAACACACTCTTCAACTCCGTGGCAGAAAGATCTGCGGTAAAAACATTCTCAGTGGGCGCTCTACTGGAACCATTGCTATGGATACTGTTAGAGATGGTCAGTGTCTATCAATAATTTGGGATTATACTTTATGTTGCCTTTTAAGGACCGTGAAATGGGAGTTTGAGAAAGAAACAAATTCCGACTTGAATATTAGAACGCTTCTTGTCTCAAAAAAAAAAAAAAAAGAAAAACCATAAAAGGATTCAGCACAGTGATACCTGGGAATGCTCAAAAGTTTTGGGATTGGTCTACCATCCAGAAGGTCTGGACAGAATGATCTGGCATCTAGAAATTGGTTTAGTTAGTAGACAGCAGTGAGTGGACTCAGGTATTTTCAACATAACATTGCCACCCCCCAGTTTCTGATTTAATGCACATCTGTCTGACTGCCTGCCCACTGAGACCTTCACTTGTCCAGGCCCTCGCCACTGGCCCAGGACTATCTCTGTCATCGGGGCCAGGCCTGGAAAGAGAGCAGCTGGTCTGGCTTTCCACAGAAGAATAAGATATACAGAAGGGTGGAGTTGTTTGGGTGGGAAAGAGAAAAGAAACCATTCTCTTCTTCCAGTAAGTGAACCAAATAATAAATGAGCAATCCCCCCCCAATTCTGCCACCTCAAATCCAGAGCGATCCAGATGCCAGAGCTCTGGGTGAGACAGAGGAGTTACAGTCAGAGATTCTGAGAACGTGTTCTCCCATGCGGGAGCTGGAAAGCGGCGTCGAGGGAGCACATGGGGACCAGTGTCTTACTGTAAGCAGGCTGTCGCTGAAGAGCCCCGTCATACACCCTTCTGCCCCCATGACTTCCAGAAGCACAGTGTGCTGCCTGTAGCCATGGTCACCAAACACAATTGGGTCATCACATCTTTCCTGGGTCAAGAAGCTAAGTGAGTGAAAATGATGACTAACTCTAACTACGGTGCAGCGAAAATTAATAGCTGTTAAAACGTACGTGAAACAAAAGTGAACTGGGACCTATAATTTAAGCTGCTCCTAGCCTCTGTGGCATGTGACACGGCCACAAAAACCCAAAGATCACTTCGTGTCTCCAAGAGATGAATGTGGTCATTTGACTTGGCAACGATCTGGTGCTTTGAATCAACTACCATCAGATCTCACAGCAGCGGGAGATGAAATATTTCAGTGTTAACAATTCTCGGTGTCTGGATTCCAAGTGTGTAAAGATCGGTTTCGCAAAAGGCAGAAAACGCATCCTTTCAGAGAAGCATTCATGTTAAGTACAGCCCCCTCTCCCCGGGGACCACAACTTGAGCAGACTGCTGAGCGCCACAGCAAAGGTATTTGCTGCCACTCAGCTAGAGCCCTACAAGTCAAGCAGATGACATGCGGCCACCTAACAGCTGTAGAAGGCATAATGCTCACACTGCATAGGTTTTCTATGAAAATGGGCATCTTCCTACTAAAAACAGTCCAAAGACTAGAATCACATATTAGTCAGCTCCTGAGAAACCCTGTTTTGTAATAAATACATTTGCACTAAAACATGTGTGATTTAACGCTCTGCGGGTCTAGATTTGATAGGCTCTTATCAAATCTGGCAATTTGAATTTTATAGGCTCCATCCAGAAGCGGGAAGTGCATAGACGAGGGAAGAAAGAAATCACCTCCCATACCCCATCCTGAATAATATAACGAAAAGCTGTGCAGAGGTCTGCAAATACTCACCTCTCAGCTTATTCTTTCACTGAAGTATTTCTATTTTTAACAGTCATCATGCACTTTAGCAAAAGTCAACTTTATGAAGTTATATGCCACTGCAAAGTCTGGGAACAGTGGGGAAATGGAGAAATCCTATTTCACAAAAGTTAATTTTGCAATGCAAAAAATATTTTTTGGATAATTCAAGCCTTTATGTTTATTTCAGTAAAGCCAAATCCAGCAAACTATTTTCAGCCAGGATTAGTCAGAACTAAAAGGTTGGACTGTTTTCCTTCAGAGACCGAACGTCTTTCCTGCCTGCAATAGGCCGGTGTGTTCCAAACGGAGTAAATGGAATTGCCTTCAATTGCCTGTCTCTTTCTGGCATTTTTAATGCAGAACCCTACTGACAGAGTAAGGTTTTGCTGCCTGAAATGTAATTATTCTTTTCACTCACATAACCTGGCATTCTCACAACGTATCGGCTTCTGGTTTTCCTTAAGAAAAATCACAACGTGGGGCAGAAGGTAACGGCAAGAAATGCAATTTCGTTCCACCAGACATTCTGAAAGCTCTTTCAAAACTACCTACTGGATAGTGAAAAGGTGCTTCTAATACCTGCATTACAGCTGTCACCTGTTTGGTTTGCCTTTGCATACATCAGACCACGTGCCCAACCTACAATCAAATATAAACATGGCCCAGATTCTTTATCATCAAGACCTACTACGGTGAGGAGCGACTCTGGCTGGGGAGCCGCCGTCTGAATCAGTTCTTTGTCGAGATGATTTACACATTTCACACGTCCAGTGAGCTGCCGCATATCCAATACCCAGGGAGTACCTACAATTCTCAGGTTTTTAACTCTGAAAGAAACAGTCCTGTCCGTCTAAACTAATATAAAACCCATGTCCTTCTCCCTCCACGAGTTAGGCGAGCTGTCTGAGATGGTGCAAAGATGCCCTGTGATCCCAAGGGTGATGTCCTGCTTGTAAACCCTGAGGGTTTGTTAGGTGTGAAAGTATTGTGAAATCACTTAAGGGTCACATTATTCAAAAATAGTACATTTTGCCAAGAAACAGACACAGTTCCAGGATCGATGCTGTGAAAACGGGAGGGGGGTGGAGGGGGAGGGGAAGAGCCTTGATGCCCACTCCCTTCCACACCAAAGTCCCCTCTTGACCTCTATGCCTTATACTTCTCCACAAAATTGTCTCTCCTTAAAGTTCATTGAGATCCTGTGAGAGCCTGCTTCTGTGGTGTCCCCTGGGTGTTGTTACACGGGCTATAAATCATTTACTAGTCTCACAACCCCGAGTGCCGCAGTGTGGGTGTACACGGTAACATCTCTCCTAGCCAAGGTGCTAAGTGTGAGCTCCTTTCCAAATGTCGGAACTACCCCTCCTCCAACCCCGATGCTCGCCCAGTTACTGGAGGGAAGGGAAGATCACGGACTATTTGCTTTGGAAAACAGCTGAACCCCGCCGGTAGGCAGCGTGCGCTCCTCTGCCCTGCATATCTCAGCAACTCCAAGCGGGTGCCTGGCAGGCAGGGGTTTTCCAAGATTCTGGACGGCGCCAAGGACAGCCACCTCCTCCTGGCATCACGCGATCACCTTAGGTGTGCAGAAGAGAACCGAGACGTGGAGAGATAGCACCGCCACTAACCATTAAAGAAATCTGTCCTGTCCTAGGGCTGCAGTCGACTTTCATGGATCCCTAGACCCCCGTGTACCCGAATTCCGAAAGAGCGGCCGGAGAAGGAGCCCTGACTGGTGGCCGAGTCTGGAAAAGGCCCAGGCACCTGCGATGACTCCCTGCGCCCTTGGGGCGCCTGCGATGACTCCCCGCGCCCTTGGGGGCACCTGCGATGACTCCCCGCGCCCTTGAGGCACCTGCGATGACTCCCCGCGCCCTTGGGGGCGCCTGCGATGACTCCCCGCGCCCTTGAGGCACCTGCGATGACTCCCCGCGCCCTTGGGGGCGCCTGCGATGACTCCCCGCGCCCTTGAGGCACCTGCGATGACTCCCCGCGCCCTTGGGGGCGCCTGCGATGACTCCCCGCGCCCTTGAGGCACCTATGATGACTCCCCGCGCCCTTGAGGCACCTGCGATGACTCCCCGCGCCCTTGGGGGCGCCCGCGATGACTCCCCGCGCCCTGAGGCGCCTCACTCACCGTGCACTTGTTGGGCTTCTCCCCGGAGTGGACTCGCATGTGGATGAGCAGTTTGTACCGGGCGTTGAACGGCTTGTACCTGCGAGGACAGCCCGCCCAGAAGCACGTGAAGTCTTCCCCTTTGCGCTGGTCAATGTGGACCTTCTCGATGTGACGCACCAGCTCCTCCTGCTGCTCGTACAGGGCGCTGCAGTCGATCCAGCGACAGCCGTGTTTGGCCCCGGCGTCGTCCAGCTCCCCGTCGTCGTCCAGCGCGGCCTGCGGCAGGGCCAGCGGCGGGGCGCGGGCGCCCAGGTCCTGGGGGTGCAGGTGCGGGTGGGCGTGGTAGGGCGGCGGGGGGCCCTGGGGCGCGGGCGGCAGCGGGGGCAGGTCCAGGGCGCCCCCCGGGAAGTCATCCAGGCGCTCGGTCTTGAGCAGGCCGGCAGGCTCGGGCAGGCCGCGCGGCACGACCGCGGCGCTGGCGAGGCCGGGCGGCGGCGCGCCGTGCTCCAGCCGCTGCATGCGCTCGCACTCGAGCGCGCCGTCGTCGCCGTAGGCGGGGGGCGCCGGGTCGCCGCGGCCGCAGCCCACCGCGCGCACGCCCTTCTGGCCCGGCGGGGGGATGCAGCTGCCGCGCACGCCGAGGAAGTGCCCGTAGACCTCGGGCTGCGGCGACGTGTTGGCCGGGGAAGCCCTGGAGCCGTTGATGTAGGCGACCAGCGACGTGGGCGAGGTGCGGATGATGGTGTTGAAGTCTATGCCGATGCCGTCGGACAGCGGGGACAGGGACAGCGCCCTCTTCTTGGAGCGGGCCGAGTGCGCCCTGGCGGACGAGGGGCGGGGGCTCGGGTGGGGAGAGGGGCCGCTGTCCACGCCGAAAAGGTAGGACGGCAACGAGCTCGACACACTGTTGCCGGACATGGCTGTCCCCGGGGGAAGGCCAAGCAGGTCCCCGAGCTCGATGCCGTTCTGGGGGCCGTGGCTGGAGGGCAGCGACGGGCCCGCCCCGTAGCCCGGAGGCCACTCTTGCTTCACGCTCAAGGCTGGCTGGCCTTCCGTCAGACTCAAAGTCGTGGACGCCAAAGACTCACGAGAAATAAGGGACCTGGAACGGCAGCCAGAAGGGGGGGGGAAAAAAAGACAAACATTTTAGCAGGATATGGATTGCCTAAGAGCTAAAAGAACACTGCATTGACAATCCCTTAAGTATTTCCCCTAATTACATTCTCGGCTAAACACACATTCTTTGGCTGAGATAAAACCCGAGGCTTTTAGTTCCAGGTAAATAACATTTTACCAAGAAGAACAATAGTGGCTAATGCCCACTGGAATCATAAAACAAAAGATCTACTGTTATAAATAATCTTAATACTTTAATGATAATAAATAGTCCTTGCTTTATTTTTAAATATCTTTTTTTAATGTCAGGGGAAAAATTTAGAGACCTGGGAATAATTATTGATGCCTTTCATGGCAAACCAAACAAGCAAGTATTTATTAAGCACGTACTGTGTACAGCACACTACAGCTAGACATTGCAGGGGGATACAAATCTCAACAGAGTTTCAGCCTTTGAGCAAAATCTATTCAGTTGAGTAAAGCAGAAACCCATGCTTAATTTCGGCGGGGGGGGCGGGGGGAGGGAGAAACGGAAAAAGTGAATCCTCAAAGTCAAATGGTCATCCAGGGGACCCAATACTAGTTTCACAGTTGATAAGGAATTCTAAAGATTTCTTTAAGAGACAGCAACTCGCTCAATTAGCACTCAGGGACAACATCAAGTCAACCCAGGAAATGAAAATATACAAAAGACAGCTACATTATACAAGGGAATGACAGCCTGAAAAATCAAGTCGTATTTGGAACTATGCACTTGGGCCGTGCAGGGTTTAATGATGCTTGCTCGTCTGGGGTTTTCCACGAATTCCTGTACTTAATTAGAGCAGCCGCGGACCGAGAGCAGATCTTACGCAGGTAGGAGTCTGAGTCTGCAGCAGTCTCTCTCTTGTCCTTCTTACCCTTTACAGAACATGCCCCACAGGTCAGTCTTTACCTGCATCTCAAAATTGCTTGCAACGTAGTCTGGCCACTTGAAAATTCATTTCACTTTACTGGGACATCGCTGCCTTAAAAATCGTTGAAAGGAAATTTCCATCTCTTGGACGTAAATTCGTCACAAAGAGGCTAGCTATCACTCACTGCATTTCCCGATGCAGATGTGGTATCTGTCAGGAAAACCTGGCTCATTCCTATGGAACTGCACTGGCTTTCTACAGAGATCTTTCTTCTGACAATTAAAAAAAAAAAGAATTAACCAAAACAAGATACTAAACAGGGTGTCCTCTTCCCAGAACGAACCCGTTTACTACTTCCAGCTGCGGCACCGCAACCTGTAGCAGAGGAGCCGAGGGAAAGGAGAAGCATTCTCATCCCATCTGTTCCTCTAGCTCCTTCTCACTAAACGGAAGCCAGGAACACTGTTTCCTATAAGCGTGAGATATCAGCAAGAAAACATCTCGACTCTCAAATGCACAGTATAAGGTGATAGATAACACCGTTATCGATGTGATGTTTCCATCGGGTGAAGTAATGTTTACCAATGACAAACACAGCAGGAATTTATGTCCAGTTGCCCTTGACACAGATTTTTTTTTTTCACCATCCCCATTCTTATATTCGGGCTGAAGTCCTTTTGCAAACCCCAAAGTAGTTTCTGAACCATCTAGGTATTTTTAATTCCCTGCGGACATTTTCAATTACTACCCCCCCACCCCCCCCACCCCCACACACACCTGCCCCATGAGAGCCCTCCTTGCAGAAATCAGCTGAAGGCTCCTTCCTGGTGATTGGATGTCAAAGGCCTTTTGGTTCCTTTCCCAGAGAGATTCAGGGATTTCTGACCCAAGCCCAATCACGAGTCGTGTCATATATGAGGCAAAGACAACTGACTTTGCTTTACACCCTGAGGTTGAGAAGCTTTAAGGAACAGTCTCAAATGGCACATTTGCCTGGTCACTGTCATACACAGCATTTTTAAGCAGTGAATATTGGGCAGAAAGCCTTTGACTCACCTGCATATACTTTCCATGTGAAATTATGTTATTTAGTTTGAGGGCAGCCTGCAGTGAGATATGTTCATTTACTCCATTGTCAAGAGCTATTTTCTTACTTTTCCCAAATGACACCTAATTACGGCATGATTTAAATCTGACCGTAACCCGATGCCGACAAGTCCCTTAACTCGGTGGACATCTCAGTTTCCCAAGAAAGTTACCATAAACTTTGCAGAAAGCAAATTCTATATTCTCTTCACTATGGCAATAATATGAACAGAGAACTCGCTCTTCGATCTCAAACACCTACTACGAACAGAACTTCCAACAAATGAGCTTTGCCTGGCCACTAATCTGCCTCGTGTGCAATTAGCCAGCTCTTTCCATCATTCAAAGTTCTAATCCATGAAACTTCTCCCAAACACACTAGTTCTCTCTCAGAAGAGACCTCTTTCTGAAAGAAGTTGTATACTGTCCGTACTGTGCCTTAAATGTAGCCCCCTCACCCCCACCCCGTAGACATCTGCGGATGTTATCTTTCTCAGTCAGATCCAAAGCCCTTCCACAGAAGGGATCATTTTTATTTCCCTGGTACCCACCAGAGTATGAGATACGTATTACATTTTCTTTTTATACTTTTAAAATTTTATTTAAAAATTTTTTGATGTTTATTTTTGAGAAAGACAGAGAGAGAGAGCAGGGGAGGAGCAGAGAGAGATGGATACACAGAATCCAAAGCAGGCTCCGGGCTCTGAGCTGTCAGCACAGAGCCTGATGCGGGGATTGAACTCACAGACCACGAGATCATGACCTGAGCCAAAGTCAGACGCTTAACCGACTGAGCCACCCAGGTGCCCCTATAGTAACTTTTCAAAACACTGTTGATTAAGAAGGTGAATAATCAATATGATGATATAAGTAACCATCATTTATAGCTTACAAAGCATTTTCCCTGCACATAATCACAAGTGATACAGCCTGTGAGGTGAGTAAACTGGATTTTTAAAATAACCTCTATCTTACAGGGAATAAAACTGAGGTTCTGTGAAATTCCTCCCACTGATACCCAACAAACAAACATACACAGCAATTCCTTATAGAAGTACAAATGAAGTAGCCTTGGATAGGCAGTCACCTAGCCAGATCACATATGTCCCTCTTTTCTCCACGTCATACCCCAAGTGTGGTCGAGAATGTTCTGCCTAACAGACCTGGTTTAACAGGCTTAAAGGCATACAAGCCAGGATTAGAACCCACACTTTCTGTTCTCCTTCTGCAACAAAGTGCTAAATGACTGTGAAGAGTTCCCAAGGATTCTCTCTCACAGCCTCTGCTGCTGGGCACACCTGGCCCACGGGGAAGAAACTGACAAAGAGCTGTGGCTCTATCACCAAACAAGACAATCTCCATTTCCTTATGTTCATCTGCTCCTAAGGATATTACTGCTGGTGACTGGTTAATTTGGAGCTCTAGAGGAAAGAGATACAGCTCAAACAATATCAAACCAATATGAGAAACTCCATGAAACAGGTTAGGGTGGCTGGTGATGCAAGAGCTTAGTAACCCTCATGGCACCATAAGGGGCGTGATGGCCCAGTTGGATAGCTTGGTTCAATGCCAAGTTCAAAAGAAATACTAACTTACAGATCACAGTGCCTTCTTCGAAGTGATCCTCAAGAGAATATATATTATGTATGTCATGGTAAAGACTAGTCCTAGTCTAGCTCTAAGTTCTCGTCTGTGTGCATGGACAAATCCCCCAGAAGAATTAGCACTGCATCTGAAGACAGTACTCAGGAAGTGCTAGAACTTACCGAGAGCCCAGAGTACATCCTCAATCCCCTTGGCCTCCTCTGAGCTTTGTGGACATATTCCAACCCAAAAGGAAACCCTAAGAAACTCCACCACCAGAAATCACCTCCAAGTATCTCCAGTTTATGGGACAAAAAAAAAAAAAATGTGGTGCCTTTTGACACCTAGAATAACATTATTAGATTGACAGCTGCACTCTGCAACTGACAAGCTAAGTGATACGAGGCAAAGCATTTAGACTTTGTGTGTCTTGGGTCCATCATCTATAAAACAGATGTAATACTTGCAGACGGTTTATGAATATTCAATCAGAAAATGTAGAATGGCAATGTATGTGAGTGCGCTAGGAAAGCTAAACACGTACAAAACCCATGCGAGCCATGCCCAGTGTCTCCTGCGGGCCACCCTTTGCTACGCCGGTATAATGGAGCCACTGTGGAGGCTGTCCTTCAGCACTTGTCACTTCAGAGTAAATACACACAATGGGCTTTGCATTACAGAGTTCGGGCAGTGCCTAGACCAAGAATGGCTTCTGGCTCTTCAAGAAGGTAAGGTATAGTCTGCACTCCTCAGGAAGCAGGGCCAGTCAGAAATGGCTGGGAAGCTGACAAAGGCAAATCTCCAACATCAGGGCAAGTTGCGTGTCCCGGATTAAATGGAACCCAACGAAGCTACAGAAGAGTGTATTTTCCAAAATGAGCACTCTGGAAGAAAGGTACTCAGAGAAGGGCAAAAGAAGAAATACAAACAGTAAATCTATGGGGGCTACTCAATATTAACAATAATTAAAAGAATGTGAATTAATATCAAGTAACAATTTGCACACCGATTGTCAAAAGGCTTCAAAATAATAATACCTAGTATTTAATAGGAAAGCCAGAACTCTCAGACTGCTGGTGAGTTTATCAATGGGTAGACCTTTCCTGCAGTACAATTTGGGACTACATATCAAAAGCCTCAAAACTGTACATCTCCTTTAACTCAGCCAATTTGCCTCTAAGAATTTATTCGAACAACTGGGGCCTCTGGGTGGCTCAGTCGGTTAAGCGTCCATCTTCGGCTCAGGTCATGATCTCACGGTTCACAAACTCAGGCCCCTGCTTCAGATTCTGGGTCTCCCTCTCTCTCTGCCCCTCCCCCACTCACACACAGTCTTTCTCCATCAAAAATAAACATTGGGGCGCCTGGGTGGCTTAGTCGGTTAAGCATCCGACTTTCACTTAGGTCATGATCTCGCGGTTCGTGTGTTCGAGCCCCGTGTCGGGCTCTGTGCTGCCAGCTCAGAGCCTGGAGCCTATTTCAGAGTCTGTGTCTCCCTCTCTCTCTAACCCTCCCCTGTTCACGCTGTCTCTCTCTCTCTCTCTCTCTCCTAGAAATAAATTAATAAAAAAATAAAAATAAACATCAAAATTTTTTAAAAATTTATTCTAATAACCAGAGATGTGCAACAGAAGATTTCCAGAATCGACCCAATAAAGTATTACTTACAATATTAAACAAAGGGAACCAGCTAAAAATGCTCAGTAATAAGAGACTGATAAAAATTCTAGTTTTTCTTTTAAAAAATAAAGTGGAATCTTGGGTGGGAAGAGACCATTATATGATGCTGAAGATTTTTACTACAAAACAGAGTGTTTCCATTAATTAAAAAAAAAGCAAAAGGTAACTATAACACTACGTAGATAATTATAGATCAGTTTGGTGGGAAGGAACCCCTGAGCCTCTGATGACGTGTTTGCAGGTAACTGGAAAGGCGTGTATCAAGCCCCGCCCCCCACGGTTGCCGGTGGGTGGCAGGGTCCGGGGTGACACACTACAAGGTGGGAACCTTGTGCTTTTCCGTATTTTCCATCACGAATAACAACTACACAGATAATCAGGAGAAAACAATAAACTGTACAGCTTTCTATAGGACACCGTCACTCTGTCTGAACAGTTCACCCCCTCCCCACCCACCGCACACCCCCCCCCCACCCCGGGCAGGTCCCCCATGGATAAAACACAAGGATGATTCTGTTTCCATCTTCTCTTTATCTCTAGGCAGCAAAATGCCTTCAAGTTGAATGGTCGCCTCCTACCCTTTCTCTCCTCTGACGGAACACACAAACCAATTTAAGGATCACAAATAAATGTGACCTTCCCAAATTGCTAAAGGTAATCTCCATACTTTGCCAAGCCACCCCACCACCCAACTCCTGTATCTTTGCTCGCCCTGCCAAAGAACTGTTTCCCTAGAAGGACTCACAGAATACAGAGTCTAAAAACGCATGTCAATGCATCTTTAAGATGCTGTCCTTTAAGGATATAAAATTATGCTAAGGAATCAAATATGCCAGAAAACACTGAAATAATGACCCATGAAAGGGGCTGCATGAGGTGCGTGGCTGAAGCAGCCCGTGCCCTGCCGACCGTCACTTTCTCCATTAATTATGACTCTCTGCCTTCAAGGCATGGGCTGGACTTGCTACAGACAGGAAGCTGAAGGCTTCCCAGTGACACCTATCCCGCGAGTACAGTTAATTTTACATGCAGTACTCGGCAAGTATGAGGGGTCCCTCGAGGCATAATCATCAATGGGAAAATGACAGCAGCGCTCCCCATCACAAAAATCCTCAGGTGAAAAACAAGTTTCCATCTCATGAAAAAACTGGCATGAGATCAAGGACCCGGGAACTATGATTTCCGAGGCTCCAGTAGTGGCTGGGAGGACAGTGCAGACAGGCGAGAGGGAGAAGACATGGGGGCGGGGAGGACAGGGAGAAGGAAGGGGCCCCGCGACTGTGACACACGTCAGCAAGATTCCATCCCCCGGGAAGAGGACCGGAGGTCCGAGAGTCCAGTTCCTTCACAAAGTCACAGTCCCAGCAGAGCCAGGATTAAGAGGCAAAAACTCAGATCGTGTGTCTCTGAGAAGGGCTCCTTACAGAAGAGGGAATCAATCATTTCAAACGCAGAAATGGACTTTCTGCGTTGCATGGATTTTGGTTTTAGGTCCCTTATCATATCAGCCTTGAGAGACACAAAATTTGTCCGAAGGGGTAATTTCCCTTTCGTATTCGAGTCTCCCCCATGGAGCCTGATGCACAGCCTCTACTGGACCCACGTATCCCGGCACCTGAGGAGACACTGTGGTGAAAGGCTGTGTAATTCGTCCATGAAAGGGTGTCTTCCCAGGCACATCATAAAGTCCTGAAATTATAACTGTTATCTTTACTTTTTCTACCATCTCCCTAAACTTCAACTGTTGTACTATGCAGATGGTAGGTATTTAATAGATATTTGGGTGGATGCGTGGACGGATGGACGGACAAAACAGGGGATAAAGCAGCCTGGGGACACTGCAGCATAAACAGTGAAAAATGAACAGGTCAGAGAGATGTACGTGGCACATCTTGATTCTCCAGCCACGAGAGGACCCAGCCTCACCCAGAGTTGCCAGCTTTACTCATGAAGGCCCCCAAGCCTCAAACTGGGCATTCATTTCACTCACACTATGAGACAGCAGGGATTAAACCATTCTTCCCAATTAAAAGGATATTATGACACATGCTTAGTTTTTATACACATTCCCCTACAAAGCTCAAATCCAAAGGGTTGCTTGTGTGTGTGTGTGTGTGTGTGTGTGTGTGTTAGTGTGTGTGTGTGTGTGTGTGTGTGTGTGTGCGTGCATTCAGGAAGGGAAGGGAAAACGCTCATAGGGTGTGATTATACCATAAGAAGGGAGAGAAAAAAAAGTAACTTGAGACCTGGTATCAGAAGGAGGTATATTCAGGTTGGCAGCATTCATTGCCCTCTGTAAGCTAGGACTGATGTGGTTGCGTGCTGTAGAGACCTGGCTTGCTGGAGGTGAACTGGGTCCCAGTCGCTGAACCATCATGGCACTGCTGGTGACCACTAGATTGTTGCAGCTGCCTTTTCCAATGGACTTGCACTGAGGCCCAAAGCCAAGAGCCCCTAAAAACAAATGAATCAGGTTAGCTTTCATGTCCCTTACATCAGAAATCAGTCAATACACACACGTGCACACTTACATTGGGACTCCTGTTTTAAGACAGTCCTTGGATCATCCTTTTGCTCATTTTTCAGATTAGTGATACCAAAAGCATTCTGTATTTCTAATTAAGAAGCCACTGCTAGATAAAAACTCTACAATAAAAATCACCACTGATACAAACATGGGCTTACATGTTGCTCCTTCAATGTAGAAGTACCCTTACTCAGAGTCATATTCTATCATGTCCTTACCTAAACAGTTGGGGTGGTAAGTAGATGGGAATACTTATATCTAGAAGTTTCTCCTAGAATAGCCAATGTTTTGGATCACCCATTGAGGAAAGTTGACACTACTGAACAAAACATATTTAACTGATTTACTTCCTTTCAGTTCTGGCCTTCTAAAACATCTCTTTGAAGGGATATAGTCTGGCTGTGTCTTTCCAATTCTGATTTCTCTTCTTCATCCCAATGCATTGCCATTGGACATATATCCAATTTAAAAAAGTATCAGGACAAAAGAGTCGTAAATAAAACACTCATTCTAAAAACAGAATGCTAACCAAATCCAACATAGAGTTCTCATTTCATTAGTAACAATCTTCAAATGCAGCAAAATTTGGGACATACCCCAAGGAGAGAGGGAAAAAAAAAAATGAAGCCCACAAAAATGTGTGTCATGATGGAAAAGTGAGAAGCACAGAGGAGAAAGTCAAACACCACCATGACTCATTTATAAAAATAATAATAATAATCGTGGTTGGATCATTCTAGACATTCTTTTCACATGGATGTACTTTTTCGAACATTTTTTTGCAAACTACCTGGTCAAGTCTCAGTGACTGTACACTTTGTTCCCATTTCAAACAAAAATAAATATGATGTCAGATTTTAACAAATCAGACTCTAAAACTTTTCTCACCAAATTCCCCGTATTTCTCGTTGATCTATTTGGGATCAAAGTAAGTAGAAAATCATTATGGTAACTTTCCTTAGCCTAAGGGACATCATTTCCTATTTCGTTTTCCAGAAATTAAGTCAACAGCCAGAAAATGACTTTGTCATCTTTTGTAACATTCTCTTCTAAGAGCCCACAAAACTAAAGGATAAACAAGACCTCGGGGCAACAACCATACTCTCATCAATGAAACCGCATCTCAAAAATGCTCACAGAATCACAGTGTTTTTAGCTGGCAGGAGTCTGTTTTTAGTCCAGCCCTCTGGGAAATCCCAGTGGTAATTCGCTTGCTCAAAGGCCACACAGGGATTTCATGACCAAGCAGAAACGGATTCCAGTATGGTGTATTTTCATGGCACCTGTGAGCTTAAGTTTTGGTACTGGATGCTTAGTTTTCTCCTTGGATATCTGCCAAGACCATTAGCGCCAACAGAAATTTCTGTGATTTTTTTTTTTTCAGACACATAAACCAGACCCTTTCTCTCTACCTCATCCACTGCTGCTTATACCTGATATATCTTCTTGTGCCTTGAGAGACCAATCATAGATAGTCTCTCTACTTTCGTAACTTGTAGAACACTGTGCCCTCAGGTCCCCATCTTGACACCAAAAGTAGTGGATATGTTTTCATGCAATGATCATAAACTTAGTATCTTTATAATTTCCAACAGGCTATGTGCCATTTGCTTTTCAAACTCTCTTTTTACCTTGGAAAGAGGCAATGGGATGGTTCGTGGCCTAGCCCAGTGCGTTAAGACACTTGAAATGTCTCCCCAGGTTCCATCACTATGAACCACTGTTACTAAAAGCAACATCAGATGTCAGGTATTCGGTCAAATTCAATGTCATACAGTGTCTGATTCCTTCTCAATAAAAAGGTACTAATACCTACCTTTAAAACAGAGACATATTAACAGGTGGAACAGCACAACCAAGAAATACTACCTGAAGACAAAGGATGTTGATATGTTCTTTCATCAAAGCCAAGACGCCATATATTTTAAGGCATAGTATTCTTCTATAGGAGGTAAGAACACACTGCCAGAGAAACTACTGCATGGTATCGAGACTTCAGAGATATTCAGATGTGGAAATACGTACACCTTAGAACCAATGAATATGAATATGATCGCTGAAAAACTTTCATTTCACCCTTGTCTTGTTCATGCTCCCCTCTCTGCCTGGCACACCCTTCCGCTAACTCATCTACCTAGGGAGCGCCTCTCCATCTTCACCACCTCAACTCAAAGGTCACCTCCTCTCTCCCTCTGACTCCCCCACTGTCCATTGGGCAGATGCGACCAATTCTTCTTTTCCTTCCCCCGCCACCTCTCATAACACACCTGCCTCAGCACCTTTCGGAAACTGTAATGTTTACATGCCTGTCACCTCCTCCTCTTTTATATCTCATGGCTTTTTAAAGACAAAGACCTTGTGTGAGGCAGTTCTGCTTCCGCGACACCTAGTGAAGGGCCTGGACAACAGTAGTTGTCCATACCGAAGTCTGTCACCGAAGTTAAGAAGGAAGGAAGGAAGGTGGATACGGGGAACAGGGTAGTGGTTCTGGGGCAGGGGCAGTGAAGGGGACGTACAGTTCCAGCGATAAAATAAGTAGGTCACGGGCATGTCATGTACAACATGGTGACAACATGCAGCATGTTAAGAACACTGCAGTGCATATTTGAAAGCTATTAAGGGGTAAGTCTTAAAGGCCCTCATCACAAGGAAAAAAACAAAAGAAAAAGAATGTGTGTAACTACGTGCGGATGGTAACTGGACTTCCTAAGGGGATCATTTCACGGTGTGTGTAAATACTGAATCACTGTGAGGCACACCTGAAACTAATATAGTGTTACATGTCAATTACACCTCAATGAATAAAAATTTTGATGAATGAATGAAAATAAAAGACAGTTGCACATGAATATTAAATACTCACACATTATTTCCACTGAAACCCTCCTGGTTTTCAAAAACAAACTCCAACTAAGTCAATCCCTTTGATGCTTCTCCACAGTACTGCCAACTAGATCTGAGTCGAAGATGAAGCCAGTGGGAATCAGAATTATAATTAAGTCAACAGAATTCTACACCGGTCAAGGCTGCCTTTGTAATGCTCTACCCTGGCTTCACACGTTCAGACCATCTGCCCACTCTGTAATACCTCCCTTTCCCAGTGTCCCAGTGTCCCCATCATTGTTACTACACCACCTTCTTCTCCCAAGTTCACTGGGCACCTTGGACCTCATCTAACCACAGAGGAATGACAGCTTCTGAAAGCATGAGGGTGAACAGAAGTGTATCGGAAACAGGTCATGTTTGTGGCACAGCTGTGAGAATGTTCTGGAAACACTCTCACGCGTGGAGGCAAGTAATACTTGGACCAAGACCCACAGCGCTCAATGCAACCATCCAACTCTAATGTTGTTTTCAGGGTGCCCAATGGAATGACCATCCCCAGACTGCTCAGAACCACACTGTGCCCTGGGGTGGGCTCTGGAGCCAGCCAGACTTGGGATCATCCTTCTCCACCCCTGCTGGTCATGTGACTCGGGCCATGGCTATAGCATTTGTGTGCCTTATCCCTATGTCTTCTCATCTGTACAACAGGAATAAAAACAGCACTACCTCACAGGGTTGCAGTGCATCTAGCACCGGTGACGCACATTTTCCAGCACATAGTAGGGAGTCAGTGGACGTCACCTGCCACTGTCACTACTGCTATTATTGTTCATGCCTCACACTGCTTTTTTTGTTCCATTCTCTTTCTTGAAGAAGAAAGTGCTTCCTTCTAATTCCTTGAGTGAAACAAGATAGTTAATGACGCTATTTAATTCTCTACCCACTTCCAATATTCTCTCTGCTTTGAGGCTGGAGCCAACTTTTTAAAAACCAGGTGTCACTGCAGATAGAAGAGAAGTTTGCAACTGGCCAAGTTTGAATGTTCCTTGGCTTGTCACTCCCTGAAAACAAACCACACAACTTTCTGTCTCCCAGATGTGCCAACTCCTTGTGTGCTGGTTTTCGTTTTTGAAATACTGCTTATTTTTAGAGACTGCATGATGTTTCTTAAAAAATGTGTTTACTGCTCAAGGAAGGATCCGAGTAGATGGCATTCTGAATACTGCATGCCTTCTAGCCAAAATCACTGCGTGCTGCTGGGGAGTGCAGAAGTACTGCATTTTTGAGTCTCGGAACTGAGAAGTCATCTGCGCAGGGCCATGTTTTTAATTAACATCTTTGTTAGTTGAAGGGTTCTCTTGAAGTCCAACAGTTGATTGTGTCGCAATTACCCCTGCTGAGGCTACATCCCTCAGAAGGATTTAGGTTTACTCACTGGGTCCTCTAGAAATGACTGAGCTATGGAGGGGGATGGAAACAGCACATATGTGGGAGGGTCTTAGGGGGAGGTACCCACGGTGGTTTTGGTTGTTATTGTTCCTTTGACTGACGCTTACTGACTGCCTAAGCCAGGGAGCTCTTGGAGAATGATGGACAGAGGGTTGGCCTCCATGAAGCCCTCATTCTGGCTACAGAGACGAATACCCAACCAACTATCCCTTATGGAAGAGGTGATCCCTGCTTCTAGGCTGGATCATATGAAATGTCTCTCTTTATAGGTCAAACACTATCAAATGTAGACAATTTCTATATGGTTCAACCTAACGTAAATGCAGGGTGTTGGGGTGTTACGGAAACAGAAATAGTAATAGACATCAGGATCTGAGTCTTGCCTCCCCAACCCAGTGGCTGTGTGACACGGGGCAAGTATCTAATGTCTCTGGGCTTCAATGTCCTATTCCCTAAAATGGGGGCAGTAAAGGGGTAAGTATGTATTACTATGTGCCTTCCCATCTCTAGGGATCAGGGTTTCCTTCCCAGCCTTTCACTTTACAACATTTCAAAATCATAGAAAAGTTGCAAGAGTACAATAAACTGTTTTGTCTACTGATAAACTGTATTTACTGCTTTATCCACCAGCTCTCTATGTAAACTGTTATTA